CTGACCATAAAGACCAGAATGGAGACCACTTTGGAAGCCGGAACACAGCCCTGCCCTGCTGGCTCCTCTGACCCTCTGCGCCCTGGATGCCAACTCTGTGGTTTTCCCATTATCCAAAATGCTTGCCCTCCAGAGCTGGGCTTTCTGTACTATGACTGTCCTGGTGCCTCAGTGGCACATGGTCTAAGGCCCAGAGGGCAGACAGGATGCCTGTTTCTCAGTCCTGACCCTGCTTTATCTACACGTGCAGCTTTAGGAAGCATCTCCATTTCTTCAAGCCTCTTCTCTTCCTTCATAAAACGGGGGAGATAAAATGCCAAACCTTTTGGATTCCTTGCAGCCCTGAAGTTCACAATGCCGTTACTGTATGTATCTGAGAAATTTGTTTTTTCCTCATCCCTCAGTCCCCTTCTCCACTCTCTAGTCAGTCTTTCTTATGTTCAAAAGTCCTTCAACTTCTCCTTCTTTTTAAGATAAATGTTGCTTGCCAGAGAGACAGAAAGCGAGTAATCAGTCCCCAGAGGGGATGGCCACACTGCAATCCCTTCCCTTCCATTTTCCTTTTGTAATTTTGAACATGCACACACACGTGCCTCATGAGAGTTTCGAACTGCTGAGTCCGAGACTTGAAACGCCATTGACCTAGTAGGAATCCAGCACCTCAACCACTAAGCCACCTGCTGTCTCCTCAATGTCTTCAGACTAATGTCCCAAGTTCTGAAAAACGGGGTTCTCAGTTCTGATGAAGGCCTCGTTTGGAAGCACTTGTGTGACATCCCTACCCTTTGAAAAGTCAGGCTGCAGGGAAGGAGCCCCTGACTCACCTTCCTGGGACTGGAGAAGCAGGAGCAGGAGGAGCAGCTGCGACCTCATGCTGGCAGGATTCCCTGGTCCCCTTGCAGATCACGGGAGTCAGGACGGTGGAGGGAGGGAGCGAGTCCTGTTCTAGTACGAGGTCAAGTTTGCAGATGAACCTCTCTGCTGGTTCCTCACACTGGTCACGTCTCCCAACAACTTCCCTTTTTACTTTCTTGTACATTTCTTTCGGTGAGAGTCAGAGGGAGAGAGAGGGAAGTGCCTTTAACAGGACCACACACCACTATCTCCCACCAGCTTCCCAACCAGCCAGGATCATGGGCGCTCACCCACATGTACAGGTCAGCCGGGGACTGGAACCTGCGCTCTTCCTTTTGGCTTCAGCTTTGCTTGAGCAGAGCATCTCCACAGCACCACGGAGCCAGCACACGTTACTGTCTTTAATTGGCCCTGACACTTGCATCAGCTTCTGTCCTTAAAGTCGTACACAGTTCAGGAACATTAAGATCTCACTTACAAAGGGCTTAGTATGCTTAACAAACAGTTCTGATATATTGTCTAGCTTTTAAAAAAATTAATTTCCCCTCGTACCATGACCCTGTAACTTGAATAGTTTACAAAGCTAAGTGAAAAGAGTGAAGCCCCCAAATGCCGCTCCCTGTAAGTGAGTGAGAGGAGATAAGTAGCACGTTCTATCTAGTCTCCGAACAATGCACTGTGTAACCCAGTGCAGTGCAAGTCTCAGCAACAAGATCCGGCCAGCACTGTCTGCAGTGGGGACCTTGCTTAGCCTGGCTAGACCAGCACTGTCTAGTGTGTACACAACTCCTGACCCACTGGACTGTGCAATTCATGTTTGACTTGATTCTTCTTTGGACATGACAACAGACTCTGCTACATAAGGCTGGAATCACCAAGTATGACTGGTAGGATGTAAGAAAAACCAACATAAACTAACTTGTGATGGTTGGTGTGATGGGGCGGGGATGTGGTTTTACAAGAAAGAAGAGTCCAAGGGCAAGAGTGTATCCAGGATTCAGAAAGCACTAGATCCAGGGAATGAAAACCAAGGAGAAGCCAAGTAGGACATTGGTTTTTTTTTATTCTTTGTCCTTTCTTCTTTTAAAATGTGCTAACGGGATGGTGCAGTGGCAGAACAGAAAGAGAGAAAGGAAGAGAAATCACCCCTGAGGTGGTGGGGTGGGGATGGCCAGACCACGCTCCCGTCTCTTTTATGCTCATCTTGGCGTTTTGGGCATGCACACACTCATGTGCCTGGCATGGTTTTCAACCTACTAGGTTCAGACTCAAACCGTGCAGTTGGCCACATAGGATCTGGATAACCTAACCACCATGCCATCAGCTGACCCTTGACTCTATTTCAGTGTCTGATTGATTTTTCTTTTTTTGGATCAGCAGACTCCATCTTCCTGATAGTACACTGTCACCAGAGCACAACTGCCGCAGGGTCAGCCTCATTTAGAGACTCACCACCATTCTCTACTTCTATGTCTTCACATCCTGTTTTTCTCTCAATTCCAAATGTCTAGGAAGGAGACTCTGGGTAGGACAGTGAGGTCTGTTATTGCAAATTTCCTTGCCTCATTTCTTCTTCCCCTACATGTGAGAACTAAGGGTATTTTTATAAAGTCAGTAGCTCTTTCTCAATGGTAACAATACACGGGAACCAGTCAAACATAGGACATCTTGCAAGTTTTCATCCAGGTGCTAAAGTTGAGATAATGGTACATAAACTCTCAAGGTGCTGCCACCCAGATTCAAGAGCTAGCACTATTTTCACTTCCATTTTACTTATTTCTTCAATGGGGGGTGAGGAGAATATGGAGTGACAGGTACCCTCAGCAGAGTCCACGTGCCACGATCCATCCCCAACCTCAGCAGCTCAGACCATGGGGTTGGGCAAGGCCCAGCATGTGAAGGGAACCTCCCTATGTGGGCTGGTTGTGCTACCACCACACACCTCCTGAGTCCCACTTCTTTCTTCTAGTTTGAGTATTTATTTACTTATTCATGAAAATTTTTTCTTGCCACAGGATGTGTGTGCTCACCAGAAGGAGATCATCAGAGAGAAAGTGAGAAAACAACGCCAAGCAGGATGGCCACACCACAACCCCTTCTCCTTCTGGGATTTTGGCCACGCACACACGTGCTCAGCATGATTTTCAAGCTGCCAGGTCTGGGACTTGACCACAGTTGGTCATGTGGAAATCCAGTGCTTTAACCACCACACTCTCTGCTGGTTCCAGTTTTTCAAGTATTTAAAGCAAATCCTAGATATGCCATCATGCATACATCAACCCCCCCTTTCCATTTTGCCTTTGTCTTCTGAGGAAAGTGTCTCGCTTTTACTCTTTTTGTTTCTCTTGTAAATATTTTTTAATAATTCATGAGTTTTTGTATATTTAAAACATTTCAATAAATTGTAATAATTATTATTTTGATGCTTAAATTTTCTCATTTTTGGTCGTGTGACCCTCCATGCTGGCTCCTGTGTTCCTTTGTCATGCCTGCATGTGTCTTGCTCAACTTTTTTGAAATTTTGCAAAGGACAGTGTCCCAGGCTGATTTTGTTCTTTGCCTGCTACAGACGGCATCAGCCACTCCTCCAAAGGTGCTGCTTCCTTTAATGGGGAACAGCATGTAGAGATCATAATTTTATTCCTAGCATATGCATTGATGTTTGGTCTCATTTCTTCAGGCTGCTTTAGTGGACAGAACTAAAAAATACGTATTTTTTAAAGAAAAAAACTCTTGTTTGGGATCAGCAGTTAGCGTAATGGCTATGTCGTTGGACTCCCATGTAGTCGACCGCGGTTCGAGTCCTGGACCGGTGGATTAAACTCATGCCAGGCACTTG